ACAATTCTTTTTTTTTTTTGTATATGTGGTTTACAGAAAACTTTCATTGGAGCTTTTTCTGGTGAAGCCTTGGTGCTTATTTGATCAAAGGGTTAGGTTTTTCTTTGATGCAACTGTGTTGAGTTGAACATGGGTACTGTTTCAATCAACTGCTTGTTGCTGCAACAGCAGCCTGCCTCAGTTCGGTCGTTGGCCAAATTCCGACAATCCTTTTCCTTTGGACTATTCACAAGCCTAGCTAGATTAGTGATTATATGTTTCTCTAACACCGTTCAACCATTATGAACACTTAGGTTTTAAAATTTTAATATAAAATACGTTTAAAACGAATTTTATTTAATAATATCCATAGAGGTTAACTATATAATTAAAACAGAAAATGAAAAAAATGATGCATATTTTTATATTATAATATAATCTTAGGGTTGAATGCTTCCGTGAATCTTGACAACAAAATTAGAAATTAAACAACTTTGTCAAGGACAAAAATCTTTGTTGTTCTTTTGATAAAACGTTAAAAAAGAATAAGAAAAGAAAAAGGAGTTCACTTTAGAATAATAAGGTGTGAAGAAGCAAAATTATTATTGTAAAGATTCTTTTTGCTACTTTTATAAAATGTAATTGATTTTATTTAAAAGTATGTTTATTTTGAATTAATTAATTTTTCCCTATTTAATATTTTATCTATGCCTTGGATTTAGTTCCACAGCATTATCACATCATTGAGTATTCATGAAGTTGGGATAATCGCGCGACCACTGGCTCGAATTTGGCAGCTCTTGTTCAAGCATTCGCCCGAGACGTACGATTGGTGAAGCATGCTTTATTAAGTATTTTTCTCTGGGCCAAATGCTTAATTTAATCTCACATTGTTCAAATCAAAACCTGATTTTAAGTTTTAATAATTAAAATTTTTATTTATTTGAAAATAACAATTAAAATTTTTTGAATAGAATTGAATATGCATATTATACATGTTATTAAATTGATTAATAGTGACAGATGATTATTAAGTATTTAATTTAAAATCAATTAACAATAAATAAAAGTGTTAAATTTAAATATAAAATTATAAGATATTAAAAATTTATTAGATATGAAATAATTTACTTTAATAAATCCCTATTATATATAGGTAAAGATGAAAAAAATCTATGACAAATTCAAAAAGGACAACGAAAAGAAATCATAGTTTTAATATCATATTAAGTATCTAATTTAAAATTAATTAACAATAAGTAAAAAAGTTTAATTTAAATATAAAATTATAAGATATTAAAAATTTATTAGATTTAAAATAACACACTTTAACGATGATTATTAATATTGTTAAATAAGATGTTAATAAGTAAAAATTATTTTAAACGAAAATTTTTAAAAATTGCATTTAATTAAAATTTTATGATATGAATTTTTTTCCTAACCAAAACCCCTTTTCTATAATATCTCTAAAAAAAAAATTTCCATCCAAGACTATCACCAATTCTGCCCACTGCCATCACCAATTCTTTAGATCACCTACATGAGACTATCACTGACTCCACCTGAACAGAGACCCGAAATCTCACTCTGCCATTACCAAAAAACCCAAACAATCACCATGTGCATATTCTAAACAGTAAGAATCGAAACGAAAAGAACATAATAACATAAAAACTTAGTAGAATTGATAGGCTTTTGTCGAGATTGATGGGCTTGTGGAAGTCATTGGTGAAGTTGATTTTGTCCATATTTTTAGGGAGGCTAATTACTTTGCTAATTCCCTTACTAAGATGAGAGTTGATAGCTCTATTTTATTTCACGCTTGGTTGTAATTAGGATGAGGGTGTCAGGAGAAAGGCACAGGGAGAGGATAACTTGGAAAGCTTTCTACCCAGTTGAGGAAAGCTTGCTTTGTCTTTTGTTTCATTAATTAAACTATCTTTCCACTGAAAAAAAAAAAGAAAAGAAAAAACCTTAGCAAATGATTTTCAGCATCATTCTCAACAAGTGAGAGAGCAACACAATATAGAAAATAAAAAATAAAAAGAAATCACAGCAGAAAAAGAGGTTTCAAGTTTTATTTTTTTTAAGGTTAAGAAATTGTATTTGGAAAGTTTTGGAAAGTTAAAAAGGAAAAGTCTGACAATAAAAGTTCGTTGTGGAGACAAAGGTGGCTGCTCACGATGACAAAGATTTTGAAGAAATCTAAACCCATGGAAAGTAATAATAAGAGGAGGGAAATAACCTACTAAAAGCTGGAATCATTTGGAAGGGCAAAAGTATGAGTTTTTAGGAAAGGAAACTCTTGGCTTTAACTGTAGATTTAGGTTATTAAGAAGTGTTTTTGATAAATGTATTTGGAGACTAAGAAAGAAGCGATTGAGAGGAGTTAGTGATGAAATTTTAGGCTCAAAATTAGAGACATCGGACCGACAGTCAAGCACCAATGACTCACACAATGGTCGAAAATGGACTAGAGAAAGAAAAAATGTGAGTTGAAAAGAAAAAGGTAGGAGGAGAGAAATAGAAAGAAGAAAAAGAAAGCAGAAAAAGTAAGGAAAAAGAAAAACGTTTTAAATTAAATATTTAACATCATGAAAAAATTATACAATTATTGATTTGAGTAACCTCTTAAACATTGAGAACCAAATTAAACATTTAGCTTTATACTAAACAAACGCTTTCAAATTTCATTGGTCCATTATGTTTGGTCTTTTTCTACGTTCAAGTAAATGTTATCTTTTGGAAAAGTCTTCATTTTGTTTCTTGATTTTTCAAAGTTGGGCAACAGTCGATATCCAGAAACTCGAAGCAAGTGTTCACACGATAGGCCGATCAGTTCTAGCAGTAGATTCATGGTGTGTATTTGCTAGTGCAATATATATTTTGCTTAATCTAATGCATTTTTTCTTATAATAAAAAGGTTTTTATTAAGAAAAAGAAAGCGTGGACTCAAGAATTTTGGTTCGTTGTTGTGTCGCAGAGGCTTGAATCATTGATTGTGGGTTTCTAGGGACTCAAATTGTCTTGTCGTTCGTTTTTCTTTTTGGGTGGGTCATACAATGATCTTTTGTCTTCTGAGTAAATCCTGCAAAAGCCAAAACATGTTGGAACATAGAAACCCTTCCTGAAGTATCTGCCCCACCAATATTACTGTTTCCATCGCATTTTTTTTATTCATTTTTTTATGTTCCAAAATTATTTTTCAAATATTTAAAATTTTTATATTTTATATTTAAAATTATTTTATATTTTTTGACATTAAAAATTATTAAAAATTAATTTTATATAAAAATTTAAATTTTGATATTAAATAACATTAAAATTAAACCTCTTTTTTAGTAATTCTGTAAAAGTTAATAATACTTAAAAAATTTAAGACGAATGGAATATTATAATCTATTTAACCTATAATTTTTTTATTATAACTATATAATTAATTAATTATAATAAAATATTTCACCTTTTAATATAGATGATTTATTTTCATTATTTTATTAAATTGATCCATGCATGATTTTTTATTAACAGGAATCGAACCTTCTAGTCGTTCCACAAGTCTCATGAAGAAATGTGAGTCCTTTCCAGGATAAATTTCCACCCACTTCAAGTATAAAAAACAGTTATATACATTAAAATATAAATTTGTTATCGCATTGTCACATGGTTTAATCACTAGCTATAGATAGATACATTAAAAAATAATAGGCATCAGTAGTATAAAAGATTTCTAAACCCACGCAAACACTCCCAAAAGTCCAAACACTCCCCGGTTAGCAATCTCCTCACTAAAAATAAAGCTCTCCTTTTTTTTGTTTATGCGTTTATTATTTTTATTTTATTATATATAAAAAATTTTTAAAAATAAAACCATCAATCAAACAAAGAAAATAAGGTATTTTCTGCTCGAACGCTAAACATGATCATAAAAGCCAGTCTTTTATGGTTTTTTTTTTTTGTAATGTGTCGTAGTCATTTAGTTGTGTCAGCAGAGGTCAGGCTTACTGTTCTCCTGATTCATTGATTCTGGACTTCTAACGACTCAAATATTCCTTGGTTTTTCTAGCTTCTTTTTAGAAAAAAATTTAAGGTGATACGTGAGAGGAGATTTTTTTTTTCCTTTTTTAATTTCAAAGTTAGGATAACTAGCAGGATTTAGAGAAAGGTTTTATATTGAATTTTTATATTATTCATCAAGAAAAATTAATGACAGTAAAAATTAAATTTAAATCTTATAAATTAATTAATATTTAATATTATCAACTTAATCAATTTTAATTTTTAAAAAATAATATCAAATTTTATATTAAATTTACAAATAATTTAGTAAAAATAATAAAAATAAAAATCAAATTTAATTTAAATCCTACAAATAAAAAATATTTTTTTACCAACTAAATCGATCATAACTTAAAAAAATTGGAATCAATTCAAGGAATTGAACCCGACGTGAATCGAAAACGTAATGTTCTGACGATCTTGGTGTTCAATGATTATGACGGGGCACATGAAGACGAAAGATCGTTTGACTTTAAGTACTTCCACGTCGGATGAGACGCGCGATCCTGTGTACGCCCCAAACTTGTCCAAACCCAAAAACTGTGAAATGATGGGCCCCACATATGATATTCCCGGCCGCAAAAATATCCAAGGCCTTACTAAGGTTTCTTTTAATGCCTCTCACTAAGGTTTCTTTTAATGCCTCTCTCTCTCCTATTTCCATTTACTTTGGATTGCAACACTGTCCGATTACTTGATCAGTTCTTTGCTGCAATCTTGCTGAAATGGTCAGATTTCTATTTCTATAATTGACTATATAGAGATATATTTTATTTTTCATTTATTCTGGATCAAATTTAAATTCTCCAACGTTATTGAGGCCTTAAATTCTGTTTGGATATGGCGGCTCCATGTAATTTATAATAGTGGTAGTATTTAATTACTGTTGCCTTGTTTGTTCGAACTCACTATCTGTTCTTTTTTTCTTTTTTCTTTTACGTACATACTCGTTCAAACAGGATCCACAAGGACAGGATGTCTTCGAGGTTATCCTACGCGTTTTGGAAATTGAGTTGGAGAGGGAGAGAGAGAAGACAAGGCTCATGGAAGAGTCGCTAAGGGCTGATCGATCTGCACTGGAAGCGAAGGAGAGAGAAAGATGGATCCTTGTGAGAGAGAAGGATCGAATGCTTGCAGTGAAAGAAGTCGAGGAAAAATTGGTTGCTGATTTCCTCGAAGCTGAAGCTAGCAAGAATTTTGATGATCAGAAAGCTATGATTGACGCTATTGTAGCTTCGATGTGCCGTGGCGCCGGTGAGGGAAACAACACTGGAGGAGTTGACGGCGGTTACGGTAACAAAAAAAAAAAAAGGGAAAAATTAATCATTGTTTTCTCGAAACCAACTCCGCTAGAATTGATTAATGATTTTGTGGTGGTTTTTGGAGCAGGAGTGGATATTAACTACCTTATCAACACTCAGAGCCTGGATGAGGGAACCGTGATGGCGACTATTGAAGGAACGAACGGTGATGGGAAGTGATATAGCTAGCAACAACGGTGGTGTTCCTGGTGGATACGGCTGCGGTTGCAGTGCCGAGCATTGTGAATACGGTGATGGTCGTTATTTGCCTTATGTTTTCCTTTTACAAGAAATAACAAGCCTGGGTTTTAATTTGTTTTCAACTGCTTATACTTCACTATTGTGTTAGAGGTTGAAAGCATGTTTTGTATGTATTTATCAATCTAGAAGTTGCTGCTGAAGCAAATTGGGATTGAGGAGTGTTTATTAAAAAATATAAAATGCAACCCTTTTTTATTTTTTAAATTTTTTGGTGTTCAGTACATATTTTAAATCCGATTAATTTATAATTGAGTAGGATCGAACTAAAAAAAAAAAAAAAAAGATTTTTCATTGTTTATCTTTTTCATTTATATAATTTGAAATTAAAATTTTATTTAAAGAGAATCGAATTATTTAACCATTCAAACCTATAGAAAATTGCTAGCTTTATCTTTTTTTAGGAGTAAAAAATTGATGCTAGTAGAAATGGGGTACTGTTGGATTGGATTGAGTAATGAAGCTAGGCTCCATTTTAATTGATTCCAGGTGAACTTAAATGAGATTTTTGTAGCCTGATATTTGAAGGAGTAATTTTTTTGGGTTTCATCTGTTATGAGTTACTAAATAGAGAGAAAATTGAAAATTATTTGGGTTGACGATCGGCATAGTGGAATTGTATGATTAAAATTGAAAGGAAAGGCTTTGGGATTACAAGTAATTATGGACGCAATAAAGGTTTTTATTTTTATGGTACAAAGATGTCATAGTCAAACCATGAGGAATAGGGGGATGGATTAAATCTGGATTTACGTCAATTAAACGGTCTTTCATTTATTTTGTTCAAAATTTGTCTGTACGGGCATTTATGTATTACAAAGATAAAAAATTTAGGTAAATCTTTTGAGGCGAAGTTCCTTTTACAGTCCACTTTTGATAGAGTTTTATACATAGAACCTTATTTATCCGAATAATTTGAAATAATTTTTGAATAATATAACCTAATCAATATTAGGTAATTAATCTTGTTTTATTTTATTATATATTTAAACTAAACATGGTTCTATTTGGATTTATTTTGGGAGGAGTGGACATGTCTAATTTGAGCCCATTTAAGTTTATCTTAATTGGTCCTAATTAAGATGATCCCATGGATGTAATGGGCTCAAATTTTTTTAAGTTCGGAACACGCAAGCTTTTAGGCTTATGTTTCAGAAATACGCTAATGAGTTCTGGCTTTCTGTTGAAAGGTGTTATTTCTTTCGCTGGTTTCATTAGGATTAGATCATCCGATGTTGGATCTTGAGAAAGGACAATTTTTTTTTTTTGTATATGTGGTTTACAGAAAAATTTTATCGGAGCTTTTTCTGGTGAAGCCTTGGTGCTTACTAGATCAAAGGGTTAGGTTTTTCTTTGATGCAACTGTGTTGAGTTGAACATGGGTACTGTTTCAATCAACTGCTTGTTGCTGCAACAGCAGCCTGCCTCAGTTCGGTCGTTGGCCAAATTCCGACAATCCTTTTCCTTTGGAATATTCACAAGCCTAGCTAGATCGGTGATTATATGTTTCTCTAACGCCATTCAACCATTATGAACACTCAGGTTTTAAAATTTTAATATAAAATACGTCTAAAACGAATTTTATTTCATAATATGCATAGAGGTTAACTACATAATTAAAAGGGAAAATGAAAACAATGACGCATATTTTTTTATTATAATATAATCTTAGGGTTGAATGCTTCCATGAATCTTGAGAACAAAATTAGAAATTAAACAACTTTGTTAAGGACAAAAATCTTTGTTGTTCTATCCATAAAACGTTGAAAAAGAATAAGAAAAGAAAAAGGAGTCATTTTGGAATAATTAGGTGAGAAGAAGAACAATGACCGCCAAAATTATTGTTGGTAAAGATTCCTTTTCGCTTTTGTAAAAGGTAATTGATTTTATTCAGAATTATGTTTATTTATGATTAATATTTATTTTTTCCCTATTTACTATTTCATCATTGCCTTGGATTTAGTTCCACAGCAATATCACATCATTGACTTATTAAAAGTCTTGGGATAATCGCACGACCAATCGCTCGAATTTGGCAGCTCTCGTTCAGGAATTCGCCCGAGACGTACGATTGGTGAAGCATGCTTTATTACGTTTTTTTATCTGGGCCAAATGCTTTAATCGCACGCATTGTGCAAATCAAAACATGATTTTAAATTTTAATAATTAAAATTTTTATTTTTTTAAAATATAACAATTAAAATTTTTTTGATAGAGTCCAGTATGCATATTATTGTATGTATTATTAAATTGATTAATTGTGACAAATAATTTTTAAGTATTTAATTTAAATTTAATTAACATTAAGTGAAGAGATTTAATTTAAATATAAAATTATAAACTATTAAAAATTTATTAGATATAAGATAATTTATTTTAACAAACTCGTATAACGTGTAGATAGAAATGAAAAAAAATTTTCATGTGACAAATTAAAAATAAAAAAATAAAAATTTTTTTTGACTTTGATATTATATTAAATATTTAATTTAAAACTAATTAATGATAAGTGAAAATATTTAACTTGAACATAAAAATATAAAAAATTAAAATTTTCTTAAATATAAAATAATTCAACTTAACAATGATTATTACTATTGTTAAATAAGATGTTAATAAGTAAATATTATTTTAAATGAATTTTTTTTTAAAAAAAAAATTGCATTGAATTAAAATTTTATGATATTAATTTTTATCCTAACCAAAAACCCTTTTCTATAATATCTCTAAAAAAATTTTTTTTCATCCAAGACTATCACCAATTCTGCCCACTGCCATCGCCAATTCTTTTTTCTAGATCGCCCACATGAGACTATCACTGACCCCACCTGACCAGAGACCCGAAATCTCACACTGCCTTTACAAAAAAACCCAAATGATCATCATGTGCAGAATATTCTAAACAGTAAGAATTGAAACCAAAAGAACAAACTGACAAAAAAACTTAGCAAAATTGATAAGCTTTTGCCGAGATTGATAGGCTTGTGGAAGTCATCGGAGAAGTTGATATTGTCCATATTTATAGGGAGGCTAATTACTTTGCTAATTCCCTTACTAGGATGAGAGTTGATAGCTCTGTTTTATTTCACGCTTGGTTGTAATTGGGATGAGGGTGTCAAGAGAAAGGCACAGGGAGAGGATAATTTGGAAAGCTTTCTAACCAGTTGAGGAAAGCTTGTATTGTCTTTTGTTTCCTTAATTAAACTATCTTTCCACTGAGAAAAAAAAAAAAAAAAAACCTTAGCAAATGATTTTCAGCATCTTCCTCAACAAGTGAGAGAGCAACACAATATAGAAAATAAAAAACAAAAAAGAAAATCACAGGAGAAAATGGGGTTTCAAGTTTGATTTTTTTAAAGGTTAAGAAATGGTATTTGGAAAGTTTTGGAAAGTTAAAATGGAAAAGTATGACAATAAAGGTTCGTTGCGGAGACAAAGGTGGCTGCTCATTATGACAAAGATTTTGAGGAAATCTAAACCCATGGAAAGGAATAATTTAAGGATGGAATTAACGTACTAAAAGCTGTAATAATTTGGCAGGGCAGAAGTATAAGTTTTTGGGAAAGGAAACTCTTGGCTTTAGATGCAGATTATGAAGTGTTTTTGATAAATGTATTTGGAGACTAAGAAAGAAGTGATTGAGAGGAGTTTGTGATGAAATTTTAGGCTCAAAATTAAAGACATCGGACCGACAGTCAAGCACCGATGACTCACACAATGGTCGAAATGGACTAGAGAAAGAAAAAATGTGAGTTGAAAAGAAAAAGGTAGAAAGAAAGAAAAAGAATGAAGAAATGGTTATTAAAAATTTCTACAAATGTACCGCTAAGATTCTGGCCCACCGATTAAAGGAAACTCTACCTAGGATGATAAGTCGTAACCAAAGTGCATTTATAAAAGGTAGAAGCATCACGGATAATGTATTGCTAGCTCAAGAAATGGTTCGAGGATACGGCAGATCCACTTTATCTCCAAGATGTGCAATTAAGATTGATCTTCAGAAAGCTTTTGATTCAGTGGACTGGAGCTTCATACTCTCAGTCTTGCATGCAATGAAGTTACTGAATCAGTTTATGGGATGGATAAGAAGTTGCATTACCACTTCTTTCTTTTCCTTATCGATTAATGGTGGACTTATAGGCTATTTTAAAGGAGCAAGGGGATTGCGGCAGGGAGATCCACTTTTCCCTTACTTGTTTGATCTAGCTATTAACGTTTTGTCCAGACTACTAGATGTTGTTGCCGTAGATGGTGTCTTTGATTATCATCCTAAATGCAAAAGAATTAAATTAATTCACCTTTGCTTTGCTGATGACTTGTTGATTTTTGCAAAGGGAGCATTGGACTCAGTGATAGGGATAAAGGTGGTGTTAGAGGCATTTTATACTATGTCTGGACTACAGTTGAACTGTGAGAAAAGTGAGCTCTATCAGGCTGGGGTTAGCAAGGAAGAACTTGCCAGAATCCAGCAAGCTTCTGGGTTCAAGATTGGTACGTTACCAGTCAGGTACCTTGGGGTTCCGTTGGTGTCTAGAAGGCTCACAGAGAAAGACTGTGCACCCTTAGTTGATAAGATAACAGCAAGGATTAACAGCTGGGCTACAAGACACTTATCATACGCTGGCAGGTTACAATTAGTACAGTCAGTGCTTTTTAGCATGCAGAACTATTGGTGTAGGCATTTCATCCTCCCAAAACATGTGCTGAAAAGGATAAACAAGTTATGTTCTGGTTTCTTTTGGAAAGGAAATGAAGGATCAGGAAAAGGAGCTAGAGTAAGTTGGAAGGCAATATGCTATCCTAAGTCTGAGGGAGGGCTTGGAGTTAAAGATATCTTGACCTGGAATCTAGCTTGTGTCTTGCAGAACATTTGGTCGATAATTGCAAAAGCTGGTTCTTTATGGATTGCTTGGATTGAAGCTTATGAATTGAAAGGGAAGACCATATGGCAAGCAACTGCCAAGCAAACTAGCAGTTGGAATTGGAGGAAATTGCTTCAAATAAGGCAGATCGCGCAAAAATTCATCAAAAAGGAAAACAGAGTGGAGGTATGGCCATTTTCAAAAGGACGGTATGACACTGCCATGGTATGGGAAAAGATTAGACCACAACAACGGAAAGTGGGATGGCAAAAACTAATATGGTTCAAATATCACATCCCAAAACATTCA